CGAATTCTATCATTTCTTTTTCAGGTCAAGGCCTATCCACAATAACCCATTCATGCATACACCTAGATAGGCAAGGTTCTGGATACAGTAAACACAATTCTGGCTTTCAAAGTCTTAAGGAAACATCACGCAAAATGCACAGACATACGTTTGGACACAAAACATCTATCATGTCTTTTCCAAGCCAAGACCAACCGACAATGCAAGGATCACGTCTTTTACAAACGTTTTAGTTGTACTTTTTAGACACCCAAAGCCTGTACTAAATATATATAACGTTCTTTATGAAGGTGCTTAGTTGCCTTTAGTGAGAACCGTGCTTATATATTAGAGTTTGAATGGTGTGTTTGTGTGCAAAAAGCGATATGGCCATTCCTTTAGACGTTTCCCAATGGAATTGTCATAATGTACAGCATTCTAAAGCTAGAAAATACAAAATGGCTAACGGAAAAATCTATGTCATAGATTGTACCAAGTTTGAATGGTGTGTTTGTGTGCAAAAAGCGATATAACAATTTCTTTACACATTTCCAAATGATGGAGTTGTCATAATGTACAGTACTGTAAAGCTAGAAAATACAAAATGGTTAACGGGAAAATTTATGCCATCGTTTGTACATGTACCGTGTAAAAGCCATGCACCTCACGAAAAAGGCATTAGTGCCGAAGGGTCGACGATAATCGCCGGAGATTAACGAAGATCCTCCGGGAATTACCGAGGATCAACGAAAGCCTCCGGGATTACCGCCCACGAATGTTGCCTCAGAGGATTGTGGGACGGGATCTTTATTTGTCACCATGGCAACGGAAGAGGATTCGAATTAACGAAAGAACGGGCAAGGTCACACAGTTATACAATATATCTGATAGTTTAAAGCCTTATGTATATCCGATATAATTGACCGAGCTCCTCTAACCCTAGCCTTAAACACGATGAATTATGAAACCTTACCTATAAATAATGAAATATATCTGAAATTTCAAAGGTTAGATCTAAAAGGTTAAATGTCTCGCTGCTATTTTTGAGTGCTGTTGCACGTCTTCCATCTTCACTGTAGATGTTGAGTATCGGTAATTGCATTTATCTAATTGTTTGCTTCCGTTGCTGTTTTAACACGCCAATCAATATAACAGATCAATAATATCTCCATGCGGCTAGCTCTGTGGTGTGGTCCTTTACACAACGTCTTGACGGGATTTTAAGTCGTTGTCACCAAGCACAGTTGGGGCATCATCACTGGAAAGCTTAAAACTACTCCTGCAATTAAAATGTGCAAAGATTGAGTGTAACAAGTCGTTCGGTGTGATATAGCTAGCTGCCGCCGCGCGTCGTGCCTGCGAAGTTGGTGTGTTACGCCGAAGGCTATACCTCCGGTACAGATACAGATGTCGATTCTATGCCTAGGACTTGAGACGTTTTGAAACGTTTATGCCATCTCGACTTTGCTCCTTGAGCCTGTGTCTACATAATGGACTATACTGAACTCCATCGCCCAAAGTCAGCCATTTCTTCCCCAGGCGCAGATATCGATTCTCAGTGATTGTAGTTGATTGTTCGCTTCCGTCGCCAGTTTGGCCCGGATCGATATCTCCATGGTAACGGGGCTTGAACCGACCCGGGTGAAACTCTGCAAGCTGAGGGTAGGGTTTAGGGATATTTTTATAATTCGCCAAAAAAAAAAAACAGTTACTGGATGTAAAATGGATGGCAAATGCAAATGGATGTAATTTTGGTAATCATATCCAGTCGCTTGAGTAACTGTTTTTGGGCATATCTTATTACCTGGATGTCTAACCTTCACCGACGTATTTTTTACAATTTTTTTGCGGCGTTTTCTAGGCCCTAGGATTCTACATTTTCCTAATAGCGAACACGATTCCTTTATTTTTTTATTTTTTTTTTACCACCACCCCTAAGGTATCCAGTTGTTTAAGGCAATCTTAAGAAGGTCTCGATAATACATTTTTAACATTATGGTTTTAGGGTCGAACTATATTATTAACAGTTACTAAATATAATGAATGAATAAACTATGTAATGATGTGTCTTTGCGTTGTAATCCGTACATCAGATCATAGTACAGGTTAGATTTGCCGTTACTTGTACAATACACACTATGCGTACGTAATCATCCAATTATACGTATACAGCAGCCGGGTGGTATGATTAAGTGCTGTATCCAATCAGCTAAGTGCGAATTCCTACCGTGAAACAGTCCGTAGAGGGATGAAATATCATACGTGGATCACTGATGCTGCATTGGCAGATCTCTTTAAATTAAATTGCCCTTTTTTACAATATGGCGTGTTAGTGTAGTGTATTATCATAAATATGGAAGTGCGTTGACTTTATTTAGGCTTTAGCTGCCATGAAGATTTTTATTTCTTATATTTTTATTTTTTTACAGTAGATTGAATCTAATGTAGTGGCCTTCTTAGAAAAATCAGCTTCATCTGCATGTAGATTAAAAAATGCAGATTAATAGAGAGAAGAAATGACTTTATGCTTAAGACTTCACTACTATGACATACACATTAAACTAGGTTTGAGTACACAATATATTGCACAAAATTGTAATTAATAGTAACCCTTTGTGTCAAAAGCGATTGCATGTAATCATTCATATATTCATCACCATTAATCTGTTTGCTACAGAGGATGTCCCGAGGTGGCTGATATGCGTAAAGGATGATTAAAACTCTCCGCTGGACCAACTCCTCCTCCTCCTTCTCTTCATCTTCATCATCCTCATCACCCATCTAAAACCCGGGTCATCACACGGCGGCCTCATCAAAGGGACGCCACTGATTGGCTATTTATGGTACAGGCGGCGTGACGTCATCGGCGGGAGATTTCTGCGGGTCTGCCCGACACTGGGGTCGTCTTCGCGCCACGACGGTACCGCAAGGTTACTCACCATTGCGGGTAATAATCACAGGCATAACGGCACATAAAAGGAACTCCATAGCCTGTCTATTTATGGTACATGCACCGCTGATGTTAACAACTGGAAATTATTAGCCTTTTCCCGAAGCTCTGACCGGAGGGTTTCTCTCCGTTGTGGGTAACTACCAGCATCACGCTACATAAAAGGAACTTCGTAGCTTGCCTATTTATTGCTACGCACCGCTGATGTCATCAACTAGAAATTATTAGCCTTTTCCGAAGCTCTGACCGTAGGGTTTCTCTCCGTTGCGAGTAACTACCAGCATCACGCCACATAAAAGGCTTGTCTATTTATGGTACAAGCACCGCTGATGTCAACAACTGGAAATTATTAGCCTTTTTCTAAAGCTCTGACCGTAAGGTTGCTCTCCGTTGCGAGTAACTACCAGCATCACGCCACATGAAAGGTTTGTCTATTTATGGTCCACCTCGTACTGATGTCAACAACTGGAAATTATTAGTCCTTTCCGAAGGGTTTCTCTCCGTTGTGGCTAACTACCAGCATCCCGCCCACTGACAGGCGCCGCGGGAGAGCACGTTCTGCGCCACACGACGTCAGGTGAGAACGTCAGGTGCGTTTTTACGCCGACGCTTTAACCAGCACCTGCCCACGCGTGACCCGTGACGTAGTCAGCCGCCGCCCACAGTCGGGCCGGGAAATAAAAAATAAAGTCGTTGTCTGCCGATCGCGCTACGCACGTCTTGTGTTTTCGTGGAAGCGTTACTTCAAGGCGTTTTGCTGTGGTGGTCCTACGCCTTGAGGAAGGATCTCACCACCTTAAGCTTCTTAGCTCACCTCAAGTACCCTTGAAGTAACAAGTCAACCACCGACGACGTACGTTTTAAGTGCCGAATCTGTTCCCCTTTTGGCTCACTTGCGTTACCCGCGGCTGCTAGTCTCTACTGAAGCTTTAAGAGGACTTTTCCGGCAAAGGGTCGGCTTGCCACAGTAGATGTTACCTGGATACCGTTAGGTAAAACCTGGCTACTACACCAGCTACTATACAGGAGAGGCAGCAGAGAAAAACAGAAACTCGGGAGAGACAGAGACAGATCACAATAATTCTTAGTTCCCAATAAGTTATTTTACGGATTGGAACTCACTACCGCTACTACAAGAGAGACTTTCCAAGCAAAAAGGTCGTCGGCTTGTAACAGTAGACGTTGCCTGGATACCGCTAGCCGGCGGTAAATGGGGAGAGAGAAGGCGGGTAACGAGTCACAGGCAGCAGCCGCAGCGGGACTCAAGTGTTGATTTAGCGACTCAGCTGCCGCTAGGGCAAACACTGGGAGGTTCGCAGCGACCCTGTGTGCAAGGACGTCTACCGCAGGAGATCAAGTAAAATCTGGCTACTACACCAGTCATATAGACAGGAGAGGTAGAGAGAAACAATCATTATTATTTCCCAAGAAGAGTGTTTTTACGGATTGGAACTCATTGCCGCAGAGACAGCGACCCCGTCAGCAAGTACGTCTGCCGCAGGAGATCAGGTAAAACCTGGCTTCTACACCAGCCGTATAGGAACACAGGTGAGAGGGAGAGAGAGAGACAGAGAGGCAGACAGACAGAGAGAGAAAACAGATCAGTCTCTCATAGTTCTCCAGAACAATTTCGGATTGGAACTCACTGCCATACTCGATCATCAACCCAGCTACCAGAACCGGAAAGATCAGAGAGGAGTTCTCCTAAAATCTGAGGAACCGGCAAGAACTGTGCAGTGCCAGTGATTCTGTGTGTTTTACCCAAACAACCGTAGGGGTGTCATACATAGTATCAAATCAGACAACAGCTACCAGAACGGCCACGTTCGTGTAGGAGGTCTCCCAACACCTGAAGAACCTGCAATAACTGCAATACCAGTGATTCCGTGGCTGCTTTACCCCAGCAGAAGGGGTGTCATACCAAGTATCACACCAGAAGCTACCAGAACCGGAAAGTTCAGGTCCACCAACACCTGAAGAACCTACAATAACAGCTGTACCCTGTGTGTTTTAGTCCAACTAAAGGGGAAACATACATAGTATCACACTAGAACTAGATCCAGAAGCAGAGATGAGTTTTAAGTACGACCGGGAAGACATCAGGGAAGCTGCGCTGAAGAGACAGCAGAAGAGACTGGGTCACCACGGACACGGAGGGTTCGTACACAGGGACTCCTCCGACCTGCTGCCCATAGACGATCTCAAGAAAATGGGAACTGTCTCAAAAGAAACGGTAGGAACTGTATTTTTTACTTCACTGTGTATCTTTACCAACGTGTAGAAGGTGTGTGTGTGTGTGGAGGGTGGGGGGGTCTGTGTACGTACCATTATTGAACTCCAGAATGAGTACACATTACCACATGTAAGGCATACTAGTTTAGGATAGACGATCTCAAGAAAATGGGAACGGTCTCCAAGGAAACGGTAGGTGTTTGTTCACTGTATATCTTTACCAATGAGTATTATGGTAAGTATTTCTATTGTGTGTATGTATGTACCCTAAACGCTAAAAAAGGCACTGATAAGCAAATTCACTACCTAGTCTTTTGTAATGTACATAGGTCCCTTAGTATAGTATAGTATAGTATAGTATAGTATAGTATAGTATAGTATAGTATAGTATAGTATAGTATATTCTAGTATAGTATGGTATGGTTGATGTACTTGTGCAATTGTCATGCAATAAAAATATGATTCATGTAGTTGAAATTTATTGCCTTTAGTTTAGCCACAGACAGACAACTGTGTCTGTCTTGGTCTCTCTAGACATTTACGAGTATATAGTACTAACTTAAAAGGTAAACGTTTGTGCTTAGCCAAGGCCGTTTTGGTTTGACCCCCTTCAAAGCTAAAAGTGGATCAAATTTAAACCCCAAACCCAACTCTTGATTGTTGGTTAATTTCTAGGACAATGACTTGTGCAAACAAACTTAAGAAACAGAGACACGGGTCCGTTCCGCTTCTTAACCCAGAAGATAGGTCAAGAACGGGCTCAGGTGTTGAGACAAATCCTTGAGCTGCCACAAACGTGAGAGGACAGGTTTTGGGGCTAGGGTTGGTATTACAGTTAGGGTTAGGGTTGGGATCATTGTTCAGGGCTGGCTAGGGTTAGACTTACGATTTGGTTGGGTTAGGTCAGTAGTCTCCCACATCACGACTAAATCCCTCCCACCTCTTGTCTCAGGTATATTGGAAACCCCCCAAGTAGTGTGTCATGTATTTGGCAGGATCATGTATTTGGCTCAACACCGGCTGTTTGACTAAAGCCAGAGTTAGGGTTAGGGTTGGTATTAGAGTTAGGGTTAGAGTTAGAGTTGGGATCATTGTTCAGGACTAGGGTTAGACTTACGATTGGGGTTAGGTTAGGTTTAGTCTCCCACATCACGACTAAACCCCGACCCCTTGTCTCAGGTATATTGGAAACCCCCAAGTAGTGTCGGAGTCATGTATTTGGCAGGATCATGTACATGGCTTGACACCGGGCTCCGGTGCAGCCACCTACACACAGGTCGTTGCCATGGTAACGTCTTGACTTCACGCTCTCCTTATCGGCCTAATAGGGTCTTGAGACACCTTGTAAGGTTAATGTCGTCACCAAAAACAGTTACTCATTGACAAGAAACTGGATATGATTTTATAGAAACATTATTTGCAAAATCATGCCCGAAGGCTAATTGCTTTTACAATCAAGTATAATACTCATTGCAATACAGTAACAGGAGACAAAAACTGTCTGGAAAAACTTCTACTTCTACTACCACGCTAGCTATGATTTTATAAACGGTCAGACGTTTCAGGTAGCATCTATTACCTTTCGTCAGTGACACTAGATGGTTGAAAAAAGCAGGCAGGCTGACGAAAGGTGGTGGATGCTAATTTCAAATCTTATTAGTAAAAGTGACGAAGCATAAACGATTTGAAAGGTGATCAGACTCCGAGGAGCCTTGGTATCATATATATGTACATGCATATGCATTCTCCGTAGTTACGGCTGGCTTCCCTTCTCGGAACAAGCTACTTGAGCTGCTCCATGATCGATCATTCTGTCAACAAAACGTTTCCTTTCCCCGAAACGCGGCGTTTGAACGACCTTCACGTGAAGGTCAAATCCCTTCAGGGTAGCGCGTCGGCAAAACAGACTGCGCATGCGCTGAACCCTTAATGTATTGTACATAGCACTTCGGTAGAACGTCATATATAATTCGTATTCGCGCATATAAGGTTTGCATTCCGTCAGTAGTTTCCAAATGTTATGTCGGAAAAATTGTCGTCTGCAACAGGCAAAATTCTGATGAAACGGTGACCAAAAATTTAATGAAAACCGTGGAAAATGGGAGTTTTGTGCAGGCGCAGTACGTTCTGCCGACGTGCTATTGTATGTATTTTCGTATGTATGGTTGACATTCTGTCTGTAGCTTCCAAATGTTGTGTTGGAAAAAATATCGTCTGAAACAGCCAAACTTCTGATGCAACGTTGACCAAAAATCCAACGAAAACCGTGAAAAATCCGGGTTTCTCGCAGACGCAGTACTTTCTGCTTTATGTTTGACATCCTATCTATAGTTTTCAAATGTTGTGTCAGAAAAGATATCGTCTGCAAATGAGCAAAATTCAATTATGATGTTGAACGAACGTTGACCAAACATCCAAAGAAAACCGTAAAAAAAAAAATCAGGGTTTCACAGGTGCAGTACGTTCTGCCCACGTGCCCCTCAGGGCTTCCCTGGAACCACGGCGGTATTCTTGGAAAAGTACGAAAATACCATTTTACGGATGTGAGCTGCCGGAAGCTTTGTTCAAAGGTTCCCTGTGAAGTTCGACGCCGTCGGCAGTTTTTGAGAGCGGCTGTACCCACTCTGATTGAACCTCCCTGGCAGGCCCCATGTGTTGTGCCCGTGGGAAAGGCACTTAAAATCTATCTCCTCACTCGACTCAGATGAAAATGAGTACGAGTGCTACATTCGGCACGCCTTGTACGTGTGAATATAGCTTCATGTCGGTATAATTGTTTTTTTTTTTAAATATCAATCACGCTCCAAACAACTCATAATGTTTATATTTTGCAATCGGTGTTAGAATAGGAATTGAAATTCCTATTTAAATTTTTTAGTGGTGTAAACAATTAGCCTGACTAAATCGCGCTCCTGGCGGCCGCCGCCCTAGGTTGCCGCCCCCCTTGGGGTGGGGGTCATTAACGTCCAGCCGAGAGCTTGTATACACAGGCTAGTAAACAATACGTTAAACTCAACGTGTTTTTTCATATCTTAATGTTCTTGTATGTGAGTTCCTTTGTGTCCACATGTTTGTGAAATTTCATTGTATGTAGCTGTAGAAGACCTGACGATAGTCACTATACTTTTGTAATCATTCCAATAAAGATTTACTAAATTTAGCAAAACATGCCCCATATATATTTGCTAGACATGCCAAACAAAGTCTAGCACAAATGACGCTCAGGTGATACCAAGCCGTGAGAACCAGCCGGGCCCATTGTTCTGTAGTACAAGTCTGTTACCAAGGCTGTGGGCGCACAAAGCACAAGTATGGAAAGTACACATACCGTACAACAATACTAAGGTATAACCAGGTGTGATCATAAACCTGTAATTTGTTTTTTTTTTATTTTGGTCTTAATAGAAATAGATAATGACAATGTAGTAAAACGACTTGTAACCTATGATATTTTGTCTGATCCTGATCTTTCCTCTTATGATCTCAATGAAGTGACCAGGTGCACCAGAGCGGTTTTAGTATTTTACGAATAAACAAAGGATCAGGCAAACAAACAAAAATATCTTGTAAGGTAGTGCGTTTTAAATAGTATCCAAATAGACGTAATTCCAATCTCCGCGGCCATTTTGAAAAGCTTACCCGCACGCACGTGATCTTGCATGAAAACGAGGCGCGTACGTATACTCAGCTGGCTTCCACAATAGGTTCCATCATGGAGGTAGAAAAAAGGACAATTACAGTTTTGACGCCCGCGGCCAACATCGGACAATAGGCAGAAAGTTTGAGCTCCCTCCTTTCCTTTTTTCTACCTCCATGGTTCCATCATAGCCTACAGTTTTAATGACTCCTTTAAATTTTCTTTCCTACAGCAGCCGAAAGCGATCGTCCAACAGAAGGCGCTGAAGGAGACGTTTAAACGGTCCGACAGCAAAGAGCAGCCCGGACAGAGGAACAGGTCTATGTCACAGGTAACGTAGAGTTAGCTGTTTTTTCTTTCCTTGAAATATGCAACTGACCGCCGGTGACCCCAAATGGAACACGCGTTCTGTTCCAATGACCACCGGTGACCCCAAATGGAACACGCGTTCTGTTTCAACATGGAGGTAGAAAAAAGGACTTTTCTACCTCCATGGTTTCAATGACAGCCGGTGACGGCAAATGGAACACGCGTTCTGTTCCAATGACCGATTCACATGTTGTACAAGAGTTGTTTCACTTGTGTGTCAGCTTGGTATACATATATGATAGTCTAACCAGACTTCGTTGTTTATTCTGTGGTTGTAGGAACCGACCATGTGTTATGAGGTTCAAGGGAGGGTCAATAGCCCTATATTGTTGCTTTGTATACATGTATTTCCTCATCTTACCGACTACCACCACGCTATACCTATAGTATGGGATGTAGATTTCGGCGCAATTCAGTGTATACTGCTAGGCCGATTTGTCCTGTGTTTACCAGTAAACCATTTACTACATTACTACTACTACACTCTTGCCAGGACGCTACCGGCACAGACGCCCTGACGGTGCCGTCCCGGCCCCGGACCGGCCGCCGGCATCACTCCTGCAGCGACTACGACAACAGCGACTCCAGACTGGGCGGGGACAACACGCTGCTCTTCATCAAGTGTAAGGTGAGGGGGTAACGCATAGAATTATCACCCTGCAATAATTAAAACGTCCGCTAGGCGGGGACAACACGCTTCTCTTCATCAAGTGTAAGGTGAGGGGGTAACGCATAGAATTATCACCCTGCAATAATTAAAACGTCCGCTAGGCGGGGACAACACGCTTCTCTTCATCAAGTGTAAGGTGAGGGCTTAAAGCATAAAACAACCGGTCTGTAAAATCCAAAACTGACGTTTGCAAGACGGTGCCGCTGTACAGTGTGATATCTAGACATGTGTAACATTGTTGAATTACAGAAAAATGCCCTTAACTAATGAAAGCAACCAAAGTCCTTCTTTTAGTACGATTTTTGAAGAAAATTTCCCTTAAAACTCAAATGTGCCACCGTTTTCTGTAACTTGCTTAGTGTACCGAATGAAACAGTAATTGCTCATTTCATGTGCACAGAAAATAGTCAAATTGTATTCATAACGATACATTTATATTTGTCCAATATTTTTTCTCCAGTGCAATGACCACGAGGTAAAGGCAGTGGTGGACACCGGCAATATCTTCTCTGTCATGTCGGAGGAGACGGCAACCACATGTGGGTGAGTTTATCTTACGGCTGCGTTTTTACCTATTTACCTTCACTAAGAAGGTTATGTTTCCGTTGGCGTTCGTGGTGTGTGTGCGTGTGTGTTTGTGTGATGTGTTTGTGTGTGCCGGTGTGTGTGTGTGCCAGTGTGTGTGAGGTTTGTGTGTGTGTGTGTGTGTGTGTGTGCCAGTGTGTGTGTGTGTGTGTGTGTGTGTGTGTGTGTGTGTGTGAGGTGTGTGTGTGTGTGTGTGTGAGGTGTGTGTGTGTGGTGTGTCAACACGATGGCTCTAGAAGGCAAGGATGGATTGTCTTAATATTTGGTAATTGGGTAGGTCTTCATGAGACCGCAAAATAATTAGATTTTGGGCCTCCTAGCGGCTTGTATTAATTATACAGATATACGGTTCGCAAAACGTCGACGTATCATAGTAACAAACGTAACGTTAAACTTAAAGTAATTCAACCGTATGACGATGATGATTACAATTTCTTGAAAAGCCGTAGTGCATGCCTTTTTTTGTCAGAAGGAAGGCATCGAATTTCTAAGTGTTCTAGAAATATGACATGTTATCAGAATTTAGCATGTTTTTTTCTGTAATTTCAACCAGCCTTATGGGAGTTAAAGTAATGTAACTCTCTGAAGTAAAGATCCTTTTTTTTCCACAGGCTAAAAAGACTAATAGACACGGAGGCGAACGGCACAGTCTCTGCTCCGGACCGCGCCAAGAAACAGTGGACGGTCATCGGCCGGCTGGGCAGGGTCCCCCTAGCGGTGGGCAGCAGACATGCAGAAGCCAACTTTATAGTTACTGGTAAGTCAGCAACCTGTTGTGGTTTGTGGAGATTGTTTACTGTTCATTGTTTGCTACTTCACCTATTTGTTGACACATCAAGGAATATAAGAAAGGAATGGAATCATTATGTGCAGTTATTATGGAAAAGAATGGATCCTGGATATCTTTTTTTGTAATACACAATTATAAAAATTTCTCAAGTTTTCTGGAGAATGTCTTGAATCGTGACCTGTATGTCACTTGTAGGTAACATTGACATATACATGACAGTCACATATATTATGATATGCTATATAATTATAATCTTACTGACTTCAGAATTGTGTTTCAGAAGAAAGAGGCACTGACTTGACGTTCGGACTTGATATCTTAAGAAAACTAAAGGTACATTTCTTCATTATCTCACTTGCAAAATGTCTTATCTCTACATTGTTAGCACCCAGGCCACCTTTAATATGTTCAAAGTAATTTCTTTAGAGTAAAGAAGTATTTATTTTTGTATGGCTGAGTTATGGGTTTGTGAATCTCCGTATCAGGACAAATAGATACAGTGGGTTGAAAGCACATGGGAAGATTGACAGGCAGAATGACAGGTCAGATGTCTTGGCTAGGAGCCAGCAGGGATATGTTGGTCCACATGGGGGAATTCAGCAAGCGGACTTTTGCTTAATTCCTGGAATCACAAATCTCTGATGCCTTGTTGACTTTGTGTGACTTAACCCTTTTTTTTCCTCCACTTCCAGGCGACAGTTGACTTGGAACAGAACACTTTGGTCCTGGGGGGTGAGCCTGTTCCATTCCTACAGGGGAGGGAGATTCCACTCAAGCACCGCTGGGGGACGTCCTCTCCCATAGGCATGTAGGCTGCCACCCCCCAAAGCCATCACAATGGAACAGTCATCAAATTTCTTACATGTGGAGTACAGCCTGGAGAACTGACTTGAGCCTTTTTCTTCCAACTGCTTGCTTTAAAATTATTGATATCAAGGAAAAGTAAAGTAAAAAGGAGTCTTAACTTAGGTTTGAATCGCTGTCCAAGTCCAATGTTTATTGTTTCCAGAATGGCTTTCTTGTGATGTTGCAATACATTGTACTGCTTTTTTATATGTATGTACAGGACTTAGAGACAGTTGTAAAATTTAAGCTTTGTTCCAACACAACAGAAACACCATGAATTTTCAGTTGATCTTGTTAAAGCTTCATCAGATGAGTGATTCACTGCACTGACTTTCTGGAATCTGGAAAGACTTATAGATGTTAAATTGCACGTAAGACAAAAAATGCAGTCACCTTCACTTTCTGTGGAAATAGTGTTATAGCTGATGCTATGTAAAGCTCTCCTTGTTATTGCAGACTGAACTTGGACATGTAGAGTCCCACATATATCAATCAGACTTGTAAGGAATACTAAAGATATACTCAGAGTAAATGTATGTACATGTATAGTATTTTCTATACTTTGTTGGGTATGGATTTAGCTGGTAAGATAAGATGGGACTGACAGGTGAACTTAAAAAAAAAAAACCTGTCAAACTTATGTACTTTGCCAAAATACAAAGTAAATTTCTGAAAAAAAGAAAAGACTAAATAAGGAAGAATAAGTAGCCAGTGTGCTACAGTTTCTTGCTGTCGGGTTGATTGGGCCTCCTCCTACATATAGTGGCCTGATGGATGAAAGGGCTGCTAGAAGCATGCTGTAGCTATAGAGTCAGGCTAAAAATGTACGCATGTACAAGAAATGCAACTTGTCAAATTTTCCACCTACAACCCAATCCTTACTATGCTTATAAAGGTACTAGACATGCCCCTTCTCTGATTTCTCTCATTAGTACACTCTGTGGTAGAGCTGAGAGGAAACAGTGCAGTACTATAACGTACAGAAACAAATCACTTAAACATGTACAGTTCCTAAGGCTTGGTGTTTCTATAATGTTGTGTACCCAATCCTGATCACCCATGGAAGTGTGTTGCCCCCTCTGCAATCGTAGTAAACACAGTCCATGGGATATATATATTCAGGTCTACTACCACAATCATTCCAGATCAAATATATCAAACCACTCTTAAATATGTATCTACACAGATCTGCAATGCAACATCCCCCAGGAATAGGCACCCTTGTAAAATTCAAGCTGTTTTTAAAAGTTGTGGGTCTCTGTAACCCATTGGATGTAAATGTAGACTAGAAGAAACAGTGTAGTTACTATAATGTATAGAAGTTTGTACAGTGTTTTCCATAAAGTTGTTGATAGCACATGTACTAATATACAGATACAGGAACATGTGTAGATGTGGAAATAAAAACAAGAACAAAACAGACTGTTGTCATGATTGCACGTTTTTCCCTGATAATGACACATCCTTGTAGCATAAATACAACATGGGTGAAAATCATCAATTATAAAACAAAACCCCGCCTCTGTACCAAGAGGTTGGGAGTTTGAATCCTGGCTGTTGTTGCCTGCCCAACTTCATTACATGCTACATGCTACATGCAGTCCTTACAACAGGACATTACATGTAAGTCATGGTCCATTGTATGTTAATGTACTTGACAAAGAGCTAGGGAATTTCTCCGGTACCATGAACCTGTAAATACTGTACACTGCTTCTATCTTCAAGATCACGATCACTCTCTAAGTCATTACCGATCATATGGCTAAGGTAATGTACTTTTCTTTCTCATAAGAGAAAACTGATGAAGCCCATGAAATATAGCAGGGAAGTAGTTTTTGGCAGCTTATGACCAATTTTTTAATATATTTTTCTCTGAATACTTTTATTCACTAGTACTCTATTGTTTCATCACGCACAAACCCACAGTACATGTGAGTAACAAAGTTATTTGTAAAATATCTACAAATCAAATCATCTTATTTCACATTAAATTTTGTTACTTCACATATTTCACATGTACTGCTAACAGTAAACATATCACATGCATAAGATCATAGAAATGCACTTGTATCTTTAGTTTTAACTTTTTTTCTTCGACTTCCACAAAACTTTCTACTCATACATTTACATTACTGTTGACACATTTAAGATCCTCTAACTTCCGCCGTTCCCTCCTCTGCCGCCACCTCCCTGGCCGCCGCCTCCCTGCCCACCCTCAGGCTGGCCTGGGCTCAGGATCAGGAACAAAACTATGGGGAGGATGTACATCCACTGGAACAGCAAGAGAATAAGGAGACTTAGACTTAAAAATCATCTTTAGTTTAAATTGTGTTTCAAAAGATAACAGTATTTCAAGAAAGTAGCTTTGTGTTCTTTTTTCCTCGTCAATAGGTTACTGTACTATTTTCAATAAGTGTTTGACTCTCTTCATATACAGTGAAAGCCAAATGTAGGTGCTCATTTTCATCTCAGCCGAGTGAGGAAAGGTGTAGTCAGCGTTAGAGATTCGAAGTTTGAACCCAGAACATTCAGATTCTAAGATAACAACCCTAACCACAAGACTACTTTGCCACCTTGACAAAATGCATGTGCATGACTCCAAGAAAAGAAAAGATTTTCTTGAAGACTCACATATTTAGCGAAGAACGACCTCTGCTCCGGAGGTTGACCTTTCTCCTTCTCAGCTCGCTCCTGTTCAATCTTCTGGATGTACGCCTGTGTCTCTGGGCTAACACGGAAACACAAACAAACAAACAAACACAACTGTCAATGTTTTGGATGTACGCCTGCGTCTCAGGGCTAACACAAGGTGAATAGTTTCATCAGGTTGGTAAGTCACTGAGCAAAGAAACTCTTTTTACACAACCGAGTCTTTTATTCAGCCGACGTTTTGGTGACTGTCTGTCACCTTCCTGTGCATAGCACTTTGGCAGAACGTCTCATGTAAGGTCGCATTTACACATATAAGGTTAACATCCCATCTGTAGTTTCCAAATATATGTCGGAAAAGACATCCTCTGCAATAGGTAAAATTCTGATAGCCTGGTTACCAAACCTATTATAGCTCCTGACTCCTACAGCTTCTCCGCAAATAGAAAGGAGAGGCTGTAGGACTTAGGAGCTATAATAGGTTTGGGAACCAGGCTAAAATTCTGATGCAACACTGACCGTTGTTATTTCCTTGATTTGTTTTTGTATTATTGCCTTAATTACTATGAGTTGTGGCTCTTGGTTTGACAAGTTTGTTTTATTACCACCTTACTGAGTTGCGGCATCATATAGTACTTTTACTTTTATTTGTACTAAGTTGACTTTAATTTGTACTCATAAGTTGACTTATCATTTTGTTATATCTGTTATTTTCTTGTATATTTTATTTATGTATGCCTGCAGGGCACATTGAAAAACGCCTTAGTGGCGATATGTACACCCTGGGTAAACAAATAAAAAACAAACAAACAAACAAACCAAATATCTAACAAAAACGTGAAAAATGGGGGGGGGGGGGTTCGCACAGGCGCAGTACGTTCTGCCGACATGCTACAAATCAAGACCTTAAGACCAATTGGACTGAACCAACAACTCACACTGGCCCCGCCACGGGCTGGGCGATCTCCACCGTCGTGTTGAAGAAGCTGAGGTCAAAGGTCTCGACCTCGTCCCCCTCGCAGCCCTCGGGAACCGTTGCCATGGAAACCCCGATGATGTGACCCAGCATGTCGATGTTCAGGGTGACGATGTCAGACAGACACGAGTAGTACAGGAGGTCCTGGGGAATTAGAACAAAAACAAGAATTTTGTTGTTGTGAAATATTAAGACAAAGCTTTAACTTCCAACACTTAGACTACAGAAATGGGACTTACCCCAATTTTCAGTTCACTCCATCAACCTTGTTCACGGAATGGACCAGTCAGAGAAGTCAGAGACACGTGACCGTAGTAGCGGGTCATACGTGCCAGATAACTTGTGTCGCCCCCCGTCTCTGTTCAGGGTAGGTCTGTGAGCTCTTATATAGACCGCCTACTCCACGCCTCTTGCAAAGAAGTCTGATTGCGAATTGTGGATTTTAACCCCTTCTAAAGATACTGAGTGTCCCGGAGATTCAATGTGAATGTGTTGCGAGACCTCTTGAGTTCCATTTCTGTAGTCTAAGCGTTGGAAGTTAAAGCTTAGTCTTTATTTCATAATGACTTGTACCAAAACAGATGAACTTTCAAATTTTAGGTGTAGGTACACAGCCCTAGTAGTATCAGGGTGAACTTGGGTGAACTGGTACACTCTCAGTACAAAATTGGGTGCACAGCTCCAAATTTGGAGGCACCCAGTATTTCGAGCCCTGCAGCAGTAGGAAGACTTCATTCATACTCACAGCTCTGACGAGTGTAGAGACATAGTCTGCACTGCTGTCCCCGATCAGACCAAACTTGTTTGGGACCCGGATACGATAAAAACCGCCTGCATCTGCTAAAACCTGCAGACATGGGGATTGACAGGAACAAGGGAGTCACAGTGTTAGAAATACCCATCTGCAGTCTATATTTTACAGTTACATTTCCAATATTGCAGGAAGAAGAATTAAGCAACCTGCAATTCTGCAGACTGAAAAAATCTTCCCAGTAACTTTCATCAGTGACTGAGAATGGTCTTAAACGTGAATTCTCTGAATAATGGTACATGTACATACTACTTTCTCTGCACAGCACTCAGGATTTGAGAAAGAGGATGGGAGTTACACACACTCGTACCAGTGGACTAGCCCCCTGCTGTAGTGATTTACACTGCTGTGTGGCCCAAATGGGCGCCACCATATCCGACAATGTTGCAGGGAGGACTTTAACTTTTCTTTAACAAGAACGTCACCAAGAAGAAAAAAGTTTGCACCTTTAGCCTGTTCCTGTCCTGTTCTGACATTGGTGCCCCCTGCACGTAGGTACCGCTTGTGCTCCTCATGGTCTTCCACGATATCGTACCGCGGTGGCTGAACGTCTGGTCTCTTCCTGAGGTTTTCATGTGATAAAAAAGATCTTGACGACCAACGATAAAATCTGGTCTGTGTGAACAAGGAGCTCCTTGGTGTGAATGCAGACAGGTAGTCACTGGTCACTATATAGACAGAATTCATATTGCTTGTGTGGATGGGTAAAAATATGTAAGAGACCTTATGGTAATGCAGTCCTTTTGTACACAAGTGATTGCCTTGACGTCACAGCCAGCAAGTGGTTGGCAAAAATCGGGTTATTTGCCTTCAATAATTTTTACGTCTCCAAAAACAGTGATCACTAGTTAAGGTCTCTTTTACAGCTTTGAAATTACGTATGTAAAACTAGTAATAAGAAATACAGAATACTATTACTACTAGTCTAGTAGTCTGACCTTGATCAAAGGAATGTTCCACTGAGACGGACAGGGTGGGGATGTTGGGCGGAGGGGCGGCTCCGGCGGGCAGGTCCATGTCTGATAAAACCTGGTGTCAGCAACCAAAAAGGAATGAAACAAAAATTTTTTATGTTGGTGGCATGATAAAAATATATACCCATTTTACAAGTAGCAAAAACTTAGCCATCTACAAGATACGAGGCCCTGGGTAGAATCTTAATGTAATCCAACTACGATTCAGATACAAAACAATCACTCTTTGATATCTTTATATGCAGCATATAAACATTATAAACATTTTTGCTATCCAACATGCTTTTTGTGATGTTGGGGGAGGGGGGGCACATAGCACAAATTTTGTCCACCTCCAAATTATCGCAGATCCGAGTTAAGAGCGAAAATTACGTTGTGCTGTTGAAGTACATTTGTCAAGAATCAAGGACAAGGCAAATTCGTACCTGGCAAAAGCAGATAATCGGCAGAAATACCAGAAACCGTAGGCAGGACCGGAAAAATGACATGGTCGCCGCCATCTTGTTTCTCGAAACGACCGTATCGCTCAAAAGCGCCATCTACTGATTCAAAGCTTTATCGCAGGCAGTTTTGATGTAGAGTAGAGTAGAGTAGAGTAGATCTTCGGTCATGTAGGATTTTCTTCTCCAGTGCTTTATGTCTCAAAGAATCTTTGATAACATACATGTAACGCTATATGTGTATACTATGCAAGGACTGGAGGTTTATATGGGAAATATCTGTGACCTAAGTATGGCTTTAGACTATAAAACATGGGTTGATAAACTTTATATAATTCACAGAAAATCTTGCCTAAGTTCGACTGTACCACTGCCATTTATAGCAATTGTATAAACTGTTTTTAACCTACTAATATAAGCACGAGAAAGGCTGTTTTAATTCCTTTAAGTACATTTTAAAAGCTTTTTAAAGACAATACAATGTATGCATATTGTCATTTTTACTTCTTGTTGCTTATAAAATTTTCTACATTTTGAGGGTTACCCCTCAGCAAGTGGATACGTCGGCGTAGTGGTTTAGAGTAGCCTTTGAACATTTCTAAGAAAAAATAGTTCGACAGAAAACTCATTTCATAAGTGATATAGTTCTCCTTTATTCCAATGAAATTTTGTACAAAAGATAAGCAAGTATTATTGTCCTGCTTTTATAACTTTTTAGTGCATTTTCTGTCCAATACTTATGATAATGTATTTTGTTGGCAACTTGCGGATGTATATTTGTTAGATCTGTGCGTGCTCAGGCCAATTTCGCGCCAAATTTGCGGACGACGTGAAAAACTGCAGACGACATTTTCACAGCCTCTCTGAACTTTTCTGTCAGATTTTAGTACATTTTAGCGTAACCCTCGGCCTTTAACCACTCACCACTTTTTACAAATACTCAAGAAGATTTGTGTTCAGGTAAGCGAACAATTTCCTCTCAGTTTGTGTCTGAAATATTAGTAGAAATTGTAAGAAACTTTCTTCAGAGTTTTGCCGCCATGTTTGCTGATGTTGATAGAAGGGCAGGCAGAAGTTGACAGAAACTTTATCAAACTGTATTTACAATAAATCGGGAACTAATAACATGTGTTCATGTCTTGTGGCGGCATGGAAAATAGTTGCCAAATTGTCGTTTTATTAGAGGGGCCGAATCTAATCTATTAGTCTTGGAAATACCCGTTGTAGTTCTAATTCTATGAAACATTGTTTTGACATTTCAACAAATTTGTTCGTCAGATATACTTAGTGTCTTATGTCTGTGCAACTAAAAGAAGGAATCGTGAACGAAAATGTGAGGGAAATACATAGCCTAAGCATTTGACTTAAATATAGAAATGATATGAAATTACAAAATATTAGTCCAGATACGTGCTATTATGTGATTGATAGATGTTTGGATGTGAAGAAAAGAATGGAGAAATAAGAAAAATAACTAAGGTGTTAGTACTAGTGTTTCTGGTGACAAGAATTCTTGCTGTAGTGAAAATATATTTGCCCATCTATATTTATTTGCCCAAAATAATTGATGATATAAAATGGAAAAGCTATAATTGTATCTCAATCTCTGTTAACCCACAGTTTATAAGTGTTTATAAGTGTATAACACTACAACCATGCCACGAGGATCAGGAAAGAAAGCTGTCCATAAGACCAGCACCATCGCTGGTCCGAGTTATTATAAAAGCACTGAGAATAATCATGATTTGCAGTAATAAGTGTATTTCTGTTTCTTTTCCTCACAGTTAGAAAGTGTATAAAGAACAGTCATCCCAACCATGCCCCGAGGATCAGGTAAGAAAGCTGCCCAGAAGACCAGCACCATTGCAGGTCCGATGCCGAGCGACGAGTTCGGCTTTGAGAAGTTTGAGGAAGAAGTGGAGTCACAGACAAGCCACAGAGGTGGGCTGGGTTCCTGCTTGTTTTATTCAGACCTTTTTGATCTCCTTGGTCTTGATAAAATACTGGACAACACCCCTCTGTTGGGGTAAGACGCTGCGTCGTTACTGTTTCCTTCCTTGAAGTTTTTAGGTTTGGTGATTGCAGTTATGTCCCGAGGAAGCCTGTACCAGTCTCTGACTGTCAGAGAAAATAGAGTATCTGTAGCAGTCTTAATGAAATGGTAGAGCCTGTCATACACCACTAACGTAAAGTCCTTACATGTCTGCAACAATTCTGTATCTGTAAATAAAATGTGAAACACTGAAAGCATGAAAAGAAACCCACATTACATCACGCTTCTAGTAGAACTTCCACAGTCTTGTGGGTATATAAAGGTCTCAGGAGGCCCAATCAGTCCCTGACAGGATAAAGATATTTTTGATATTTTTTTATTGTAACAAATGTTCCTTTTTATTCGGTTAACTTAGAATACCACTTTGTTTTAAAGGCCTAACAGATGTTTTAACTTAATTAGATGTATCGTCGTCAACACAAATATCTTCCTTCCATTGCAGCTGAGGAGACTCCCATCCTCCCCAAGACATCTAAAAGTAAGAAGAGGAGTTACCTGGATGAGGAAGAGGAGGAGGAGGAGGAACAGACAGCCGGTCCTGAGGCAAACTTCGGAGGAGAGATGAAGAATCTACTGGAGTCCTTCGGAGGTAAGGAAATAGGACGTCTTAAAATAAATGTTTCTTTTCCTTTTTTAACGAATTTGCTCCGTGTAAGGCGAAGAGACCACTTCTTTCTAGGTACTGAACAAAACTTGGGTTACTGGAACAGAATCTCTTCTCACTGAGTCAGGAATATCAATACTCGAGACAACTCCAACTCACAGAGAGTGAGGACTAACTGACCCAACAGGAGAAAAAATGTTGACGAAGGCTGATTGGAAACAGTTCCTACCAATTTTAGATCAGAATGATTTTGATCCACCCATACTGTGAAGGACCTACACTTTTTTTTTATCAGTGTGGTGGATACATCTTGAAAGTTGTACATTTGCTGGTTTTGAAATCTGTAATTGTGTAAAACTACTTACAGCAGTGCTTGACGTCGCACTTTTGCATCTGCTTTTGTGGGGTCGTGTGGCGCAATGGCAGGGTGCTCGACTCGGAACCAAGAGGTCCCGGGTTCGATTCCTGACATGCCACCAATCTTGTGCCCTTGGAAAAGGCACTTTACACAACTTCCCTCACTTACCTCAAGTGAAAATGAGTATTGTCTGTCCTGTATTTGTTTTTATGTGTGGGACACAATGCCAGCAGTATCTGCCTGTGTCCCACGTGTATTGCACTCTTACAATTTCAATGAATCAAATACTTTTGATTGTGGCGTCTGTGTGGTGTAGTGGCTAGAGCATCTGACTGGCAAGCAAGGAGACCCAGGTTCAATCCCCAGACGTTGTGCCCTTGGGAAAGACACTTTACACGTATTTTCCCCTTTAGAGGGATCCTGGGCCCTACTAGGGTTTGGGTTGGCGCTAAGAAGGGCATCCAGCCGTCCAAAATAAAAGACTTGCATTTGTTGGATTAAAAAAAACAAAGCAAAATAACCTTTGCTGTCTTTTTCTCAGCTGACATCTCCAAGACCCTGTCAGCCAAGAGGAAGCGGTTGGAGATGTTCACACAAAGCGCGGTGAAGGCCAGCAACCACAAGGTGGAAAACACCTGGATGGCACAGCACTCCGAGAGGTGAGGCCTACAAGATTTTCAAGCACGTTGTGAACCCACTTGTATGGTGTACAAGTTGAGTTTGTGTTTTGTATCATACAGTGCAGGTGATATTCTTGACATCTAAGTGTAAAATAATAAAATCTCTGTTGTAGTACTTGTTTAAGATTTTGAAGTTAGCTCTTATTTCAAATTTAAGCTCAGAAGAGGACCAGTAAGATCTGTAATTAGGTTTTGTTCTATATGGTGCACCCAAAAAAATTTGGGGCAGCTAAATTTTTTGGTTGGGTGCACCAGTGCACCTATTCCCAAATGAATTTCGAGCCCTGGTTTGTGTTTTATATCATACAGTGCAGGTGATTTGAGGTGAAGGGATAGGTGAGGTGAGGTGAGGTGAGGTTCAGGTGATTTGATTGACAATTCTGTATCTGAATTGCAAGGTCAGGGGTTTGAATCTCGGGTTATCTCTCAGTGTACTGCCTGAATGATCAGTGAATTTCCAGGACCAAGTTGAGTGGTGAGTACCAGACCCAGGTACAGTATGTGATAAACCAGTGGGAGTCAGACATCCAGAAGTTGCCTGGTTAGGGGACTAGAATGGTTCAAACCAATGAGTTCATGGCATAGCTTTACTGTATGATGAACAAATTTTGCCTGAATTTCCAGGACCAAGTTGAGCAGTGAGTACCAGTCACAGGTACAGACAGTTATGCACCATTTGGACTACGGTACTCAGAAGTGGCCTGGTGTAGGGGACTAGAATGGGCCAAGCCGGCAGTGAGTACCAGACCCAGGACTACAATGGTTCTAACCTCAAGCAATAACTACTCCTAAGTCTGTTAAAGGTAGAAATGCTTTTTTCCAGGACCAAGTTGAGAGGTGAGTACCAGACCCAGGTTCAGACCGTGATGAACCAGTGGGAGTTGGACATCCAGAAGTTTTCTGGTTAGGGGACTAGAAAGGCCCGAATTAAACAATTCTTTACATTGTGTGCCTGTTAAAGGTAGAAATACTTTTTTCCAGGACTAAGTTGAGTGGTGAGTACCAGACGCAGGTTCAGACGGTGATGAACCAGTGGGAGTCGGACATCCAGAAGTTTAAGGAGCAGGAGGAGAAGCTGCAGAACCTGTTCAAGCAGCAGCAGAAGCTCTTCCAGCAGCAGAGGATCATCCAGAGTCAGCGGCTCAAGACTCTCAGGCAGCTGCACGACCAGTACACTAAGGTCAGTGTTTTCAAAGACAGTAAAAAAATGTTCTACTAACAAGTACAAGCGATATTTTAGCCCTCAATGATTTAACTGTACTGAAGATGAATTTTATTGTTGAATGTGAAGTTTGAGTTACCAGAGTTATTCTCTTCTTGTTTTAAGATCCTCAACTGAAGTGAACCATGATTCTTGTTCAAGTAGTTACTAGAGCAATGTTTATTTAGCCAAGCACTTTGGTCACCCCTGTTTATTCTCAATGTGTTACTGTCAGGATACTTTCCAAATGGCAGTTAATTTTGTTCAGTTGGTGACCATTGATAAAGTCAATATCTACATGTACATTGTAAATACAAACAGCCCCAACTTTTACCTCTCTTTAAGCTTGTCCCTACAATGTACCTTTACTCTTTACCTATTAGCTGTCAACCTTTCCTCTTTAACCCCTTTAGGGCATGGATGAGCTGGAGCAGTGTCACCAGGACCAGCAGGGCTCCATGCAGGTGGAACTCACAGTGTGACCCTGCATACACTCTTTCAACCTTACCCTTTGACTCCCAAAATTCCAACCTTTCCCCTCTAACCCCTTTAGGGCATGGATGAACTGGAGCAGTGCCACCAGGACCAGCAGGGCTCCATGCAGGTGGAGCTCAGGAAGGAGATGGCTCTACTGCAGAAGAAGATTCTCATGGATACGGTGAGCTCATGTACAAAACTGACATTGTTCAAGTCATGCAATTTTACACTCACTCACTCACTGTCCGGTTTATCGTCTGTTATCCCCCCGTCTTTCGAGGGTTAGACATGCTTGCACTGCACAACTGAGGCTTGATGGCAGCTCGCCAGTTGCCTCTGTCCTGTGAGCATGCATAAATCCTACATGTTTGATAGCCTGCTGAAGGCTATTTTACTTCCCTCTTTTAGAGAAATCTTTGTGCTAACAACATTAACGCCAAAAAGCAGTTACTCAAGCAACTGGATATAATTTCCAAAATCATATCCAGTTGCTTGAGTAACTGCTTTTTGGCGTATTGTATTACCTGGATGTCTAACCTTCATCGACGTAACAACATGAACGTTTAGTTGAAATAGCTCTTAGACCACCTGTTGCCCATACAATGTAGCTGTAGCTATTCACCATTTCTGGTTGTGGGTATCTTTGTGCTAACAACATGTTTAGTTGGAATAACTCTTAGACCACCTGTTGCCCATACAATGTAGCTGTAGGCTATTTATGTGCACCCTGTTTCTGGTTGTGTTGTCTTTGCGTTCACTAATTTTCCCTGATGCGGAAGAAGAAACTGGATCTCGCAACTCCAGGTATGTATTACTTCCTGCCCCTTTGTGGTAGAATTTCTGTAACTGTAAGTAGTATCTTTTAACACACTACAAATTTATTTAAAAATGTCTTCCTGCTTAGTACTTAGGCTGCTGGCTACCCCTTTCCAATTTTTACTCCACTTATATATTAATTAGAGGATGGCACTTACATGTTTTTGAACAAACATAACAAGCAATGCAACTGTTTGTTAATGAAATGCATAAAACAATTTTGAAAAAAATGAAAATGAAATATAGACAAAGCAAAATTTTACATCTTTTGGCCCACATTGAATATCATGACATAACTTTTACTAGCAGGCATTTATGTCACACACGTCTGTACCATGATTAGAATATTTGATTTAGAGCCTGGAATTTCAGAAAATAAGTATTTTGAATAAAGAGACACCAAACTGAAACCTTTTCTGTCTTTTTGTTTCTTTTAGCAACACCAAGAAATGGCAGCAGTTCGCAAGTCACTCCAGACCATGCTGTTCTAATAGTCTTTTCCCTCCGTTTCCTCATAGTTGAAATATGCTGAAATGTAGGGTTAAAACATAAGATTATGATATATCAAATATATAAAAAAGCGTTCTTGTTCAAGTTCAGCATACAATGTTGCATGTAGCTAGATTAGTAGTTTTAGATGTTGAACGGTCTGGAAGTAGGAAGAAAAGCTTTGATGATTTTTGCAACGTTTTTCTTCTGAGAAAATGTTGTAACAAATACTGTTATTTACTTGTGTAGCTTTTAGATAGGTTGTTCTTGTATATTTGGGTATGTGAAAATAGTGTTCTGTTTTATCACTGCATATGTTGAACATTTTGTTTTATCACAGTATAATATATATGTTGTTAATATGAACAAAAGGACTTTTATGATATTTATGTCTGCCTGTTGTCAACAAGTAAAATGCAATGATTATGAAATTGTTGTTTGTGTCATATTTATTGATCCTGGTGTTGCTATGCATAGTCATTCTCATAATTTTGATTTGGGTTTTGGACATTTACATGTATGGGTCAGATATTTTCAACGTAGTGATTAGTGTTACAGTTTTGTTTTTGTTTTTAAAGCATTCTCGAACTACATATTGTGTATATCTTATCTCATCAGTGTGTATCTGTATCTGTATAGCTGGTATAACCATCTTTATGCGTAACACACCAGCTTCGCAGGCACGCAGCGCGGCGGCAGCTGGCTACATTTCACCGATCGATTTGTTACACCTAACCCTTGAATACTAACTCTAGACATTGTTTAATCTATCTGATGACAATGCCCCTACTGTACTTGGTGACAGCGAGTTCCACTCTGCAATACTTCTAGGAAAGAATGAATTCTTGAACACCTCAATCCTTGGTCGATAACTCTGGTACTTGAAGGCATGGCTATCAACATGCTTGTGGTGTGGCTCCCCCTAAACACATGACAAATAGCTTAACATTCCCTTCAAAAGGTCTACATCCCTTAACTTTACATTTAGATATTCAAATGTTTCGCAGGGCTCGAAATTAAAGGTGGTCCAGAGGCGATGGACCACTAAAATTTAGGCTGGGACAACTAAAAAGACACTTTGGGATATTTTTGGGACAATAGAAAAAAATCAACATCAGAATGTCAGCCCTTCTTTTGTTTATCAGGCACACGTCCCTGCTTTTGGATCAGGAAAAGTGCCCCCAAATTTCCTGTCTACTCTGCAATCATAGTGCACCTGGGACTGAAAATAAGCAAAATAATGTTGACTTTAAGTTGAAGTCATATAACAAAAAACAGGTTGCAATTGGGACATTTCATCCTCACTTCGGGACAATTGACTTTATTTTTGGGACAGTGCTGGGACAATTGGAAGAAAAGTTAATTTCAAGGCCTGGTTTTGACACACATTCTCAACTGACATGAGAAGACGAGAAAAGTACAGCCTGCATTCTCCACTGACACTAAGTGGTTATGGATGTTGCCCATTCTTGACCCACAGATCCTTTATGGTGTGGGGTCTTACAGCTGTCACATTAGATGCATAGTGTTGTTATTTGCTGCTGTGCATATAAGGAGTGGGAAAGTGGGGAAACTTAGAAGCAAGATGCAGTTTTTTTTCCGTTAATCAAAATTCACTACAGTGTCCAATTAAAGGGCTTTTTGTCTTATATACACACAGCACTACCAGTGGACTAGCCCCCTGCTGTATTGCTTTGCACAACTGTGTGTCGCCCAAGGGCTACGGAAATGGAGATGGGCACCACCCTACGCTCAGCATAAGAGCATGGGAGACCTTCTTCTTTGTCTTAAAAGCCATGTTTGTTGCATGTCAGCATATAGTGAGGCAGGCAACCATTGCTATCCATTTCCTTTGAAATTTTGTAACTAGATATATATTCTCTCCTTTTCCAAGTTTTAGTACTGTTCTTGAAAAGATCTAGAGTGAAATCATCAATTCTGATTGTTTATTGACAAAGCTTCTGTGTGCGTGTGAATATTATTGCAGAAAGAGCAGTTTCAAAAGAACTTAATATGTGTTTGATCTGAACACCTGCATACTAAGTGGAAAGACATTATATTATGATTTATTGTTGCCCAGTTTTTGAATGTTATAAGAATGTTCCTGAGCCTGGGAAATGACCATATTTAGCTCCAGTCTGTTTCAGCCATCAATTCTGTTTTTTATAGCCTGGTATCCGTTGTTTCCTACCTCCAGTTAACTCCTATGGTTGCTTCTAGCTCTGAAAAATAGTCTGGCCTTTCCAAACGACAACAACTATATATGCTGAAGAAATACACTCACCCAAGAAGTTTTTAAAAACAAAATTTATCCAAATTCTTTTGAAGTATAATCATATCAGCTATGTCAGGGCTCGAATACCTTTTCTGTTACTTGCAATATGGGATGCATGTTGTCAAATTTGAATCTTTAATATGCCTTCAAAATTGCAAGTTTGTAGTTTTTTTTGCAATATCAAAAGCATTACTTAAATTGCAAGTCACAGGCGAGATTTTCAAGCCCTGATTTTTACATGTATCTGCTTTCTTTTAAAATGTCCAAAAATAGTTCTATCAGAAACTTTTCATTTTTCAGCAATGCTGTCAAATGTTGACAAAACTGGCCTGGCCTATGATATTCTGTTTCAATTTATCATGATATTTTCCTTATGTAGCTAACTTGGTGTAGTTTGTAGCATTTTTACAGTGACTATAAAGTATATATACATGGTTTTTGCCTATGTACAGTATTGAGCAAATAAATTAAGAAAATACAAGCAACAGTTAGTACATAACATATAACAAGTAAAAATGACTATTACTGACCAAAATGACAATGACTTCATTCTAGGTTTAGTTTTCAAAACCAGAAACAAGATAGCTTACAAAGTGTCTGAAGCTAAATTAAGTGCTATAATTGCAGTGGTCAGACTTCTTTTGCTCTTAGCCTAACATTGAATGCAAAAGTACAATATACTAAAAGAGGAATATCCAAAATACACTGTATTGCACAGACAAGACACATTCACAATAAGTAGAAAACAATAAATAGTAAAAATAGTACCAATGGCATACGTAACACGAGAATTATCAAATCTTAGACTTTAAAAGTAATTTACATGACTTATTCTTGTGTAGTCCCTAACTATGCAAATCTACTGTGTACTGCATTGCAATTTTAAGGCATTTACTGTGAATAACCTTTTATAATCATACAGCTTTTCTACCACTGGCAATATACATGTATGCAACTTTGCAGATAGAGACTTTTTCTAGAGCTCCCAGAATCTATGAATCATTTGCAGGCTTCCAAGTGTGTGACATTTCATGTGGCTGATCTAGGTCAGCTGGTCTATGGTACTGTCAGTTGAAAATGCATGCAATGCATTTAACCTTTCAGATTGTATACACACAGCATTACTAAAATAGAAACCCGGTCAGCTATTCTTAGAGCATTTAGATGGTGACTGCAGGACATTGCCCATTCATGACCTTTCAAAACAACAGCAATGCTGCATTCTATGCCCACAGAATTGTGACTTCCTGGTTCTGATTTTTGCACGAAATGAATGTATGGGGTGTAAGAACATTTTGTACCTCATATAAGCTTTGCAAAAGTGTTGTCTTGACAAGGTAAACAAGCTTAAGTGTGATTAGTATTATACAGTGTTGGTGCTCTGTGAAAGCTTCATGATTAACTAGATGTACATGTACAACCAAGTCCTTGGTTCCTCCTTTGAATTTGACAATAGCCCTCTGTCTTGAGTTATAATCTTTTCTTGCACATACGTTTATGAGCAAGATGCACTAATATTCGATACCTTTTTGATAGAAAACTATTTAGAATATCATCAGCCCTATATAGCTAAGTATGATACACTTACATTCTTACCATGATAATTACATTTACACTTGCTGACTTTACCATAACTTAAGTTAAAACTTTACATATTCAACACCAGATATCATACAAAATGAGAAATATAGAAATAACTACATTTCCTCATACTGAAACAAGTTTGAATAATTTCCAGCGCAAGAAATTGAACTTTTCAACTGTTCAACTCCAGTTTTCGTCAAGGAATGCACAATTCACTGCTTCTGTGACTGCATCCTGGACAAAGACTGGAGACAGTTGATAGTCCAATTTCTTGTGTTCAGTTCAAACTTGCTTCATAATATAGACACAAATGAACTTCCAAGCTTATATTTCGTCAGCTTTCCCCAGCGTTGTTCCCCCGTCTTTTTTGAGGGGCCTTTCTATCGTGGCTGGGGGTCGCGGGGCGGGGCGAGTGGTGGGGTAGGAGGCCAGGCGGGCGAGGCGAATGGCTCCTCGTACGGCTAGCCCTGCTTTCTGTGGGAATAACGGGACAAATAACAGTTATTATGCAAGAAAATAAAAGTTAAACCATCCTTTGTTCTTGAATTTTAGATTCATTACGCTTGTAATCCACTGGTTAGCAAATTTAGGGCCACACGAGGGTGAAAGACATCCATGCATAAATGTACTTGTGACATCATGACAAAATGAAATCATATCACAGCCTTAACAAAAATAGCCCACCTTTAAACTATAAGCAAACCTTGCTCGACTTACATTACATTGTGAGCATTATATATAAACAAGGCTAATCTCCAAGTACACGCATGGCTCAGGCTTATTTTGCACATATCTTTGAAGTGTTTTCTTTCTCTCACTAGTACTTAGTAGTACATTTTGTTTCTGCTAGAGAGATGAGAAATCATTTCCAAAAGATGTGCAAGAGAGCAGGATCCTTACATCTGCTTGGAGAGCATTCTGTAACCACTAGAAGGCATCACTTGGATTCCTGTTCAGTGAATAGCTTTTCCTGTATACACCACAGGTTTTGTTGGGTACAGGGTTTGCCAGCAGAAATAAGGTTACATGCAGCTATACAGTCACATGACTGGGAAGTTGGAAGTTTTCAATGGGTCTACTTGTAAGTTGTTTCTTCATTGTGAAATTTTTTAACTTAAGAACTACTATTTGGATGTATGCATCACTACGAAATTAAGATACTACTGAATTTACTGAAAGCCTGATCTAAATACAGCAAAGCACAAGTCGCGGCAGGAAAAGCTGAAATTTCAAATCAATTATCCAACTGCAGCACCAGATGCACCAGATGCACCAGCATACTGTATTTCGTGTGGTTCAATGGTGCATTACCCTATTTATGACAATCTTCATTTTTTGTTGCTTTCAGCTGTTGAGAAACAAGACCAAAATATTTTGATTCGATGATTTGAAAGTTTTTAAGGAAAACAGGATCCAAGGACGCCTCCTTCTACTAGATTCTACCTTCCACTTTTTCCGGATGAGGTACTTTCTTAGAGCTTCCTTGTTGTTGATGATCTCTTCCTTCTTCTGCCCCCGTGCCAGCCATCGATGTCTCAAGCAGTCTTCCGCAGACATCCTCCCCCTTTAAGGAACAAGAAAGCACAGTTAATATCATCTTCAGGGTCACTGAAGCTTGTGTTAAGGTGTACAAGTTATGCTGATTGAAAATGTTTTATTTGCAGAGACTAATATAATATATTTTTCGTATTTTGCTTTTCTTTTTACAGAGCTGCCTGAAAAGTTTCACTGAGCACATGCTATAATGATTATTATGTTAAGTTTACTGAAGGAAAGCATATTGTTTTTGCTCTGTTTCCTCTTCTTCTTCTCCAAACCAAAAAGGTCAATGTCCTGAACCAGACGTCTGTCACCATGGTAACTAGTGCTGGGTCATATCATGTTGCAATTTCATTCAAGTTTCTAATGCAACTGCATGCATTTTTCATGTATATGTTTGATTTGTTATTGCAACTGTTCTAACAATACAATTCCAACATGGCAATACATTATTCCAACAGGTTCAACATGAACAAAAAACATAATCATGAACACAAGAGATACAAACAAGATGCACAAACAACTGCCATCAACAATTCCGACAACACAGCAACGACACAACATGACGACAGACTCAACAAGACACATGCTGATTGCTCCAGAACTGCTTGGCCAGATGGTCTGATCTCTTCCGACATTCCTTCCCTTCATCCTCTTTCTCTCTCAGGATGCAGCTGGAAATACCCTGCGCTTAGGCTTACCCTAGGTTGTACACAAGGCATTTAGTGATGAAATCTTTGGCGTCGTCGGAAACACTCTCCCACTCCTTGTCGGCAGAGTAGTCGTAGTCCCAGCAAAAGTCCACGATGTTTCCCATGGTTGCAAAGTCGTCTTCACCAAGGAACGGGGACAAACCGGTCAAACTGGATGGAAAACGAAACTCACAGACTTAGAGACAGACAGTTGAGAGGTACGCTTAGCCTCCGTAGCACTGGCTTATAGAACTGGGGGTTTGGTGGTCTTCGGCTGTTTTCTGATGGGGGTAATTCAACCAGGCCAGCTAGTTGTCCATATGCAATCAGAAGATACTAGCACATAAAAGCTCCTGAAGGCCCCAAAAGCCCCCAGTTTTTTTATATGCTATGGAGGCTAAGGAGTGCTCTCATTTCTGGGTGCATGCACTTACCCCAGGTTGTACACCAACAGTTTTGAGATGAAGTCTTTAGCTTCGGTGGAGATATCATTCCACTCTTCGTCCTCGAATTCGTAGTCCCAACAGAACTCGACGACGTTGTTCATTGTTTCCGTGTCGTCCTCCCCCAGGAAGGGGGACAGCCCTGATAATCTGTGTGGTCAGGCAGGCAGCGGCGAGAAGCGTAAATGTCATGCAAAAAGAAATCCTCATACGTTAATTTAAATATCTTACAAGTTTCAGATCAAGAAAATTGCAAGCAGCATTGAGAAGTGTAAATGTCATGCAACAACTTACATGTAGAAACAAATGATCATACTTTAAGTATCTTATAAACTTTGAAAATTGCCTTTAAATCTGTCAAGAAAATTGTAAGAGGCAATGTCAAAACTGTCATGTGACAGCGTAAAAACAAATTGTCATTGTGAAAGGATCTTACAACTTAAAGAAATTGCCTCTTCAATTGTCAAGAAAATTGCAGGCAGTGTTGACAAATCTCAATGTCATGCAACAACTTTAAAGCAAATTGTCTTAGGATTATCATAATGTAATGAATTAAATTCTGTTTATTTAGCAAACATGGGTAAGCTCTACCAAAAATGGGATAAAATCAAATGACATGCATTATACACTCACATGTATGTAAAAGAAACATTAGGTTATCATAAATGACTTCAAGTAATGCATTTTTAGCACTTTAAAGGATAATTTTTAAGAAAAAAAGGAACAACATTAAATCACATGAGGAAAGGTTGCAACAGTGCCATACATGTAGATACCAGGGAATTAACAAAGACAAGGCTTGGAGTAAGTACAGTTAATATTTGTGTTACAGTCCAAGCTAACATATTTGGTAACACCCCTATGCTCCAACATCCCTATGTTCTGACAAAATTAACCTAGTTTGGTGCTGAATTATATTCCCACAAACACACAGGCACTACCTGTCCTTGGTGCTGAATTATCTGTGTTTGTGTGAATATAATTCAGCACTAAGGACAGATAGTGTCTGTGTGTTTGTGTGGCTATAATTCAGCACCAAGGACAGGTAGTGCCTGTGTGTTTGTGGGAATATAATTCAGCACCAAGGACAGGTAGTGTCTGTGTGTTTGTGTGGATATAATTCAGCACCAAGGACAGGTAGTGCCTGTGTGTTCGTGTGGATATAATTCAGCACCAAGGACAGGCAGTGCCTGTGTGTTTGTGTGGATATAATTCAGCACCAAGGACAGGTAGTGCCTGTGTGTTTGTGGGAATACAGGTCCGACATGAACAATACGCCATAACACACAGGTGTTGGTTTGTTGAAACCTACATTTGTAGGGTTGTCCCCCATGTAAGTAAGTAGTTATATCAAGCACATGACAGGACAGGTACATGCATAGGACTTGCCCAAGCCAACAGACTTACACCACAAAAGTGATGACTCCCACACTCCACATGTCCGTCATATAGGACACGTTGGTGTAGTTCAGAATCTCAGGTGCACAGAACTCCGGGGTTCCAAACGCTACCTGAGAGGGGGGGTGGGTGGTCACACAGAACAGGCACAGAAACAGGCAAACATGAGGTAAGAAAACAGAACATAGCAGTACAGTAACAGCTGTAGGAGAGGAAACAGAACATCACAGGAACTTGGGGGAGAAAACAGAACATTACAAAAGCAATGGACCTATACCATTATTACGTCACAGTTTGTTTACCTGTTCTAAAGAACATTCTAGAACGTCAGTTCAAGAATAAAGATCATTTCAAAGTTTTCAAAGTAAGGTATGTCTGATTTTTGTTGTGTCTAGTTGTGTTGACCCATGGGTGATTTAGTTGTGACATCAGACGAAAATAGTACTGTATTAAAGGCCCTATATTAGGCTAACGCTACACAAACACGCACCGCGCTACACACCCCTGTACAATATAAACGTTGATTGACCGGCATTCATTGCGGTAAACAAACTGTGACACAATAATGGTATAGGTCCATTCAGGTTCAGGGGAGCAGCCAGTGGAAGACTTGTCAGTCTTTTGTTGCCTTTTACCAACAGTCCTGAAACAAAGGGTCTTTACAGGGTGGTACAAGTTGATAACAGGTCTGGAAGACAGAACGTTTTGTGATTTCTTACTGAGTGCAGGAAATATTTGCAGTTTAAAGCTGAAAAAGTCTTACTGTTTTAATTGGCCAAGCAACAATTTTGGTACAAAATGTGCGTGAGTTGAATTATTTATAGGTCAATGATGTTGTGGGCTTTGAGATTGTGGAAAAAAAAAGAATGGAGACAAGAATTCTATGAATGAATGAACAAAAAAAAAACATTTGTTCCATGAAACATTTCCACAGCAGGGCTAAAACAGTAGAGTACAGTCATGAAGTATACTGCACAGAGGGGACCTGGGGAATTAAAAATGTCACAGTGCATGACACATGAACACAAAGGACATTAAAGCGACAGGCATTGACAGTGAAGCGTAATTGTAACAGTTTCAATACAAACCTTTGGATAGTCCCAAAGAGCAGCCTTTAAAGATCCTTTACTTAGGAAAGAATTTGCGATTGTTGCACTCCTTCCAAAGGTTTGCTTTGAATCTTTGTGACATTTTTAAGCTTGAGGCAGGAAGCACAAGGAAGCTGTCTGGATACAGATAAGGTCAATGACCTAGGGAATTTAAAACAGGAGCGACGCACATTTAAGGCAAAACGTTACATGTGTAGCGACAGGGAAGCTTTGTAGTTTACATTGCAACATTCTCAAGCCCGGAACAGAGACAGTTACATGTTGACCCCCGACCTTTGTACTTACAGAATAAACGTGATGACCCCTACGCTCCACATGTCTGTGGCGAAGCAGATATTTTCATAATTTAATGTTTCGGGGGCGCAAAACTCGGCGGTTCCGAACGCCACCTGGAATGGATGGTTACATGGAGTGATGATTTTGATACATGGTTTTGACAAATGATTTTGAAACATGATTTTTGATACAGGATTTTACACAATTTTGACACATGATTTTTACACAATGATTTTGATACATGATTTTTACATATGATTTTGATACATGATAGCGATACATGATAACATGCTTTTTTTACAGGGATTAAAGTTTTGACTAATATGGAATTGATGTTGATGAAGAAAATTTAATGATTTTGAGATACTATGAACAATTTCAAGATATTTTGGTTGTAGTTACTGACAAATTTTGACAGTGTACAATTTTATCACATAAAAATTTTAGCACAGTTTCACAGTCAAGCATTCAACGCCTTCAAAATTCAAATTTATATAGAATTTAAAAAATGTGGTTTTACAAAAATGGCAGAAATTCCATTCTTTAATATAATGTAGTATATATCACACATTGAATAAGAAACAATAAAAAATCAAAAGAAATAAAATGCTGCCACATACATGTTCCTTTTGTATTTATTATAGTGAAATTGTACTAGTAAATGTGACGCCTAGTGATCTGAGTTACCTGGAGAAGTTTCTTTGGATTGTGTCTTCTGGCCAGCCCAAAGTCTATGATCTTCACATGGTTCGTCTTTGTGTCAACACACATGATGTTTTCTGGCTGTAAAGTAAACGTCAATGAATTGCACATATATATTACCTATAAATTTCTATGACTGCATTGCTAAGTCATAATCACATAGTAGTAGCACACAAAATTCTCCAACAAATCTCCAAAATTCATTCATTCATTCATTCTATCATTCATTCACTCGCCCACTCACCCACTCACTCTCTTGCTCACCCACTCACTAATCCACCCACTCACTAAACCACCCACTCACTCACTCACTCACTCACTCACTCACCCACCCACCCACTCACCCACTCACTCACTCATCTCATCTCATCTCATCTCATCTTATCTCATCTCATCTCATCTTGAGATCCAGGTGGTCATTCATTCATTCATTTACTCCCTCCGCTGTGCTGGTACCTCACCTTTAGATCCAGGTGAATGATCCCGTTGGCGTGCATGTACCGCACACCTTCATCCATACATCCATCTAACCATCCACCTATCCATCTATTCACTCATTCACTCCCTCTCTCCGCTAGCTGGTATCTCACCTTGAGGTCCAGGCGAATGATCCCCTTGGCATGCATGTACCACACAACTTCCATCCATCCATCCATCCATCCATCTATTCACTCATTTACTTCCTCCCTCTGCTATATGCTGGTACTGTATCTCACCTTGAGATCCAGGTGAATGATCCCGTTGGCGTGCATGTACCGCACACCTTCGCACACCTGCCTCATGAACATGACTCCATCCTTCTCTGTCAGGTGATAGTTGTCGTCTAATACTCTCTCCAGCAACTCGTGGCCGGCAATACTGGAATAAAGGTACATGTGCCATGTAACTATTCTGTACAATAGCTACATGTGTGGACCCTCATATTTTTCTCCTGAGAGTTTGCATACCATACTCTGTTAATTTTGTTAAGAGCCTTCTCTCTCCCATTTGTATGACACTATATCTCAGATTTTTTAAACACTTCAATACGTCAGTCTATTTTATGAAAGTCAAGAAACCTCATATTATGTTAAAGTGCAGACAGTTAAAACCTGAACTTGAAGAGTGATAACAGATGCATGTCAGGGTTTGCTGCCCCCAAAAATATTTATCATACTACTGCCTGCCATCGCTTGTATACAATCATGTATATTGCATGGTTCAAATGTGTCTATAGCTCTAAGTAACATACTCACTATTCTATGACTAGTGTCATCTCTTTTCTTGTCTCGAAGGCGTCGTAAATTCTGAGGAGATTTCTGTGGTTCAAACCCTTCATGACGTCGATTTCCATTCTGACATCAATTCTGTCTTGTGGCTGCAAAAGAGCAAAAAGAAAATCAAGTAAATGATTAGATGGATACTTAGAGGGGTGCTTGGATTGGAGGTTTAATTGAAATTCCATGCAATGTCCATTGTTTAGTCAGGCCTTGGAAAAAAATTGTGTTTGAAACCTGTTTCCTGACTGAGCCTAGAAAAAAACATTGATCTTAGCCTATTTTGTGGTGGACCCCTGCAAGGGACTTACATTTCCAACATTGACATTGAATGCATGGTATAAGTTGGATCACTAGAGATCGCCAACGTCTAATGAAAAAGAAAGAAAAAAAAATCCCTACCTACCGCCCTTAATTTTTTCAGGACTGAAACAGGAAACGCAACATTTTTTCCTACTAAATCCTTTAAATGTACAAAATAAAGGAAACAATAAGTGGATGGACTTGCACTATACTTACACTGTGTATTTTGATGGTTTTTGCTGCCAGCACCAGGCCTAATCTCTTCTCCACACATCTTTTTACTACCCCAAATCTTCCCCTGGAACCAAAGGAAAAAAAAAGTATTGTCACTTTTACTATGATAAATGTAAATTTTTCTAAGGTCTATATTTACCATGAGCATCTAAAATATTATTTATGCTGGTATTACTGTGATTGGTTGATAGAATGATTGTACATGACAAGTAAAATGTAAATTTGTATTATACGGTATCACTGCATGTTTTGTATTTCTTATGCACATTGTCTATCTATTTGTGGGCATGGTGGCCTTGAAAAGGTGCACTTAGGTGCACCTGTTCCACCATGTACATATGTATATGGTTGTACAATATGTATATGGTTAAATGTAATAAATAGATGAATAGATAAAAGACATTGTAATATTATGTTAACCAGTATTCAATTTGTCAATTTTCTAAGCCGCCTGCTGACTTTAGGTCAGTCTTCTATCTTATCTTTACTAGCCTGGTTATCAGACTCAGACTTTAAAGCCTCAGGAGCTAAAATAGGCCTGGTAACTAGGCTAAAGATAAGATAGAAGACCGACCTAAAGTCATCTTGTGAATTTGGAACTTGAGGAAGAGATAACTTACGTGGCCAAGACTTCCCGTAAGTGATAGTGGTCGGCTATTTTTGCATCCTTACGTACTGAGATGTCCCTCTCACCAAACGGGGCTGGGGGTGGGAGGTCACCTGGGCCATGGGAGAAACAACATGATAACATTACTTAAGGCAATCAGGGATGGCAGACTTCACCCCTTTAACCTGAGCACATCCCACGCACTTCAATACTGAACCGTCTGTAATACAAACAACAACTTGAAGGCAATCAAAGATGGCAGACTTCACCCCCTTACTCATACTGCTTTGGTGGTCCTTCCAGTCCAACAGACTAGAATACATGTACATGTATCAGCATTGAGGATATGTGGCATTGCTGCATTTTGTACATTGGGGAGGAACACACACGTCTAGATACATATATACAGACTGGTTTGTTACGCTGAATGGCGGTTATACCAGCTATACTGATACAGATACAGACAGACACATACACATAGAAATAAACTGAGACATACATACACACACACAGACACAAAGAGACACACAGACACAAAGAGACACACAGACAAACAAGCAGACACACATTGCACATACACACACAAGCAAACATACACACACACACACATACACACACAGACACAGAGAGACAGACAGACACACAAGCAAACAGGCACACAGTCACATACACAGACAGACACACACACACTCAGACATACACAGACATACATGACAGTCCCATGGCCTGAAGCAGGGTTAACTTTAGTGTAACATAGAACTGTTGGAACTGTTTAAAGTTCCTTTGACAGTTGTTTGACAAATGTCATTGACTCAGTCATACTTGCACCTGTTGCTGCATTTTCCCACGTCCAACTTTATAACACGGCATGCCTGCACGTTTACATTGTGTAACATTTGGTAACTGAAGATGCAGTGTGTCCACCTGCCATGTCCATATGTACACCTGGGCTATACAAGACTGAGAACAGATTATAAGTGGCCAGGTGTGCTTGGCTAAAAACTTGAGCCTTAGCCACATTGCACTATTGGCTATCAAAAAAGCATTTTGCTTCAAGTTGCAGCTGCTATACCTTCAGTGTACATAGACCTGTTGGAACTGTTTCAAGTACCTGTGACAGTTATTTGACAATGACATTGACCATACATGAATTGTTACAGTAACTGCATTTTAGCATGCCCACATTGTGCAATTTTATAACACTGCATGCCTGCACATTTACATTGTGTAAGGTTCGGTAACTGAAGATGCAGTGTGTCCACCTGCCATGTCCATAATGTACACCTGGGCTATACAAGACCGAAAATAGAGTGTAGGCACTATTATTGGCTATGGAACAAGCATTTTGCTCAAAGTTGCAGCCTGCTGTACCTTGGTGTACATAGAGCTGTTGGAACTGTTTCCAGTACCTTTGATAGCTATTTGACAATAATATTGACTTGGTCATGATAGCTTTACATGTCCCAATTGTTACAGCATTTCTACACATTCTGCATCGTGCAATTTTATAACCCCGCATTCCAGCACGTTTGCATTATACAACCTTTAGTAACAAAAGACTCCACGGATCAACCTGCCATGTCCTTTGTACACCCGAGCAACACAAGACCAGGAGAAAGTGCCAAAAACAGGTCTTGGCCGACCCTCTACATTCTTTCCCCGCCCTGGAGTCACCTGTGGACAAATACGGTAACCTGAAGACAGGGTGGGAAGAATTAGCCTTTTGTGCGGCCCTTGTAAGACATCTTGGGGGGATACCTGACTCCTTGAGAAAGGGGCAGGACGGCACCTTTGCCTTTGTGAGACGCTGATGTACAGTTGAGGGCAAAACATGGCCGCGGAATGTGGGCAGCTGGTGGGGACATTCCTGAAGTGAAAACTTACGGTGCCCAAAGAAACTGTACTGTGTTCGTGTGTCTGTGTGTGTGTCTGTAAACACGATAACTTAAGAAGGCTTGAATGGATTGACTTGATATTTGGTAGGTGGGTAGGTCTTGATGAGACCTGGAAATGATTAGATTTTGGGTCACCTAGTGCCTTCTTATGGTACTGCAGCTGAACTTCCGGTTTTGATATCTCATGACCTAGACATGCTAGGGTCACGAAATTTAAATGATAGGTAGCTCTTGTGATGGGGAAGACATAACATGAGGTTGGGCCCCATAGCGGCTTGCTCTGGAACTGCTGGGGCATTTTACTGATAGCAAACTCAATACAGGGTAATTTACAAGTTACATGTAGTTACTAATGTGTCCTTAGATGGGAAATATCCCTGTAAGTTGTGGGAAAGGTTTATGATTTATAATTAATAAAGTAATGGCACAAATTATACAAGATAATTTATAAGTTACGAGGTGCCAGAATGAACTAATAAAGTTGTAATGTGTTCAGACAGTGAATATCTATTCAAGTGTAGGTTTGGGTTATTTTTGGGGTGTTTTCAGGCTTTTTTATCGGGTATATTTTTTACACTGGGTTGGTATAAAAAAATTCCAGTGCAAAAAAGAAACCCTGATAAAAAAGCCTAAAAACACGCCAAAACACAAACCCAAACCTCTGCTTGGAGAGTAGTAAATATCGCTGTTGTGGGAAAGGTTGTGAGAGATCAGGTATCAGCAGCTGTGGAACCATAAAAACACAAACAGCCACATAAATCTCCAGCATGATGCAACAGTCCGCAAGGTCGGCATTTCCCCATTTGGGGATTGCTCATTTAGGACACCCCCCTCTAATAGGCGAATATTATGGGATGCTAAATACGACAAACTAGGCAGTATTAATGTTGGAGTGAATGGATTTTTGCCCAATTCATTTTTATATAATTTGCTTGGCGTGAGGTAATAATAAAGGGTTAATGCCCTGCCCTGAGGTGTATGGTGAGATAATCCATGGTCATGCAGGCGCTTTATTCTAATAACAGACCACTTTTGAGGTTATGGCCTGATAACTAATGGGAGATGGAGCCTTCTGATTGGTCGACGCCTTCTGGCTATGTGGTAATAAACTATATTGCACAAAAATTGTACAAGATACTAAGTATGACATCTACCTCAGTCTACATAACTACAGTTCCATAAAGGTAGTCTACCTATATTGAATACATTGTACAAGAGTGTATATTGAAGTTGTGAGACAAAAGGTATCAACTGTTCCAATGAAGCATTATTAGAGAAAATTATTACGAGAAAATAAATTAAGCACTTTTCAAGTTATAAGATTAGTGTTCTGTTGAGTACACTGCATGGCTTAGCATCCGTTGTTCCCCGTTGTAGATTTAAAGATGTCATTATTATACCCTCCTAACTTGCTGGCCTACAACATAAACTATGGGCAGATCTAATTAATTTTCAAAGGAAATTATCACACAAAATTCCATTAAAAACTTTTCTAATTAATCTGTGGTATAATATCAACTAATTACCACATAATACAGCAGAAAAGATATACCATAACTCCATAGCCATGTTAAGGGAGCCAGAAGCAATTACAGATCTGTTGAGTAAATATTTCAAAGATAAACCAGTCTGCTTGATAATTAGAGCAGGGAGTTAATATTGGCAAGGGAAAAGCTCACAGAGGCTAATTTGGGCATGGCGAGAAAACAAGACTGGGTTAAATATAGCAGCAGGTATGAAAGACTGGACCTCAACCCTACAAAAATTGTTTCCTAACATAATCTCGAAGCTCTCTGTTCAAGCCAAGACATACAAGAGGCTGTACAGACTGTTATTGCAGCGAGGCCTGTCCTGTCTTGCCTGATTAATGATATGACGTTGTGTATTTGTTTTGGAGAGTTATAAATGGGAGCAGCGACGTAAGATCTTCCAACGATTCCATCATTCAAAATATTTCCCCCCCAGGGAACCTCGAGGATTGCGTACATGATAGGTCGGGGGTCAAATTCTCCCAGCTGGTTCCAGTTGCCAAATAAGTGGACAAAAAATACAAGAGGATAATCAGTAAATTAATAGATACATACTGTGCAAGCACAAGAATGCCAGCAGCTAATTAAAAATTATTACATTTTTATTGAGTTACTAAATGCACAGTATGAATTTTTGTCTAGAAAAACTCCCTTACTTGTCTCTGGTTGAAAATAAAGGAACATAAAAAGTTAGTGAATTACATATTGATGACATGCCTCCAACGTAGCATCATATATACTCACATTTGACTTTTGCAAGGATACACGTGTATGTCACTTAATAACTTTCAGTATAATACTGCTTTCAAATTTATTCATTCAGGCATTCAGCTATTCTCATAGTTTGTATTTACTATTTTTCCATGCTCAAATCCCCTTTATATGTCGGTGAAGGTTAGACATCCAGTTAATAAGATATGCCGAAAAACAACTTTTAGGTACTAGTGGATGCTACCAGGAAAATCTGACCATTTCCAAAATCATATCCAGTTGCCTAAGTAACTGCTTGTTTTGGAGTATCAAATCCCCTTTATCTGTACAAAAATGTCTACCTGTATGTCCCAACATTTATGTCAGGGTCTTTATCAAGCATCTTTTTTGCACTTTTTTTTGTATGCAGTAAAATAAATGCAAAAAAAAAAGCCTGATAAAAAAGCCTAAACACATACCAGAACAAGCCGAAACCCAAAACTCTGCTTGGAAAGTAGAAAATGTGTAACATGTCCCAACATTTATGCCAGGGTCTTGGCAAAGATTATAATGCCCCACATCTTGTTGCCTTAGTCACCCCCTCAGTATCACCTTAAGTATCCCCCTGAGCAGAGTGTTCGACACGCCCCAGATCCTATGAAAGACCCTCAAACATTCGCCGCTGGAGTTTGGCCATTATAAGCTAATCTCCAAGCAGACGTTTGGGGGAGGGCTAAATCTTTGACACATTTTCTTACATGCGCCTTTTTGTGTCAAACTTTTCTTCTCAATAGGAGGAGGTGAGCACAGTAACTGAAAATGCAATGGATTTAGACTGCCCCAACAACTGCTTGTAGTTGTAAAGTACTAACCATGGGAGTTTGGCCATTTGGCTGAATCTGTACAATTTCTACCTGCACTTGTCTGTGTATGTGTTAAACTGCTTTCTCAATAGGAGGAGATAAGCGCATGTAGTAACCGAAAATTTAGACTGCCCCA